TCCTACGTTTTCTATTTTTGCAGGCCTAGCAAGGAAGAGAGGTTCTTTTTTGCCATGGATGAGTCAGAAAATGCGATTAACTCGACTGCCTCGCCAGGCATTCACAATCTTGATGTCTCACCAACTATGATGACATTTTCCATAATTTACGTCATCATTATCATCGCTTCGCTGTTGGGAAATATCACAGTTTGTGTGGTCATACTGACCACCAGATCCCTGCGGCAATCCATCAACTCGTGCTTCATCCTCTCCCTGGCAGTTTCTGATCTGATAACAACTTGTCTGGTGATGCCGTTTGACTTGGAGCAGATCATTTCATTCGGGCGCTGGAGACATGGTGAGATCATGTGCAATGTCTGGACGACAACATACTTAATTGCTGTACCCACGTCCATTCTAAGCTTGTTGGCTTTGACAGTTTATCGATACCGACTCCTTCAAGAACCTCTGGACATCTACAAGGCATCGCCACTGATGACTCGCAGGCGCGCCTCTATAGTCGTTTGCTGTTTATGGGCATACTCCATACTCTTTTCATTCGCCCCAGTCTTTGGCTGGAAATGGCGTCCGAGAAGTGTTTACTTTCAGTACTGTTATTTCAATCTCTCTTTGACTTATTCAGTCTTGAGTTCGATGATAAATTTTGTGACACCAGTTATAATAGCTTCTCTTCTTAACTGCAGAATGTTCTGCCTCGCAATCAAGTGGTCGCATACTCAGAAAGCTGGCCGCAGAAATGGCAAGACTCATCAAAACCCAACAAGACCTACTAATCCAGTCCAAGACAGCGCCATTTCACCCCAAAAAGAACAACAGCTTGTCGAATCCATGCGATTACAACATGAAGCCATCCTCATCAGAAAACTACAAGGAAGGAACATTCGCGCAGCCAAGACAACGTTTCTAATCGTTTTCTCGTTCGTGATCTGTTGGCTGCCTCACTCACTTCTTAGCATCATTATCATTTTGTGCAGGACGTGCGCTTTAAAGATCCCATACTATCTTCAGTGGATCTTTCTCATGATGGGTTATCTTAATTCAGCTATTAACCCCGTTTTGTACAGCTTTCGGAGTTCTGAATTTAAGAAGGCGTTTAAAGATTTCATCAGAAAAAAGCGCCTCTTTCGAGGTGCACAAATCCGGGCCAAGAACGCACGCGCTATATCTATGAAAAGGTGTGCAGTACCTCTACATAATATACCTTCCACCGACGATTTCGGAGTTAATTTGACATTTTACAATCAATTTAATAGTACTAAGGAGATTTCTGAAGTAAATTTATAACTCTCTCGTCACATACCTTTGGAAAAGTGGGAGTTAGACGAATGAGACAAATTAAAGTATTTGAGCGCAAGTTACACACGTATGTGAAAATATTGGTAGCGAACACTATCATCAGTTTCGGAGAAATATTTCTGTAATTATAATAAAAAAAATGATAAAATAAACATCAAATATAAAACTCTCAGCGTGTTTCTGTTTGTCTCAGGCCTGCTGAAAAGGGAGAAATTATCAGCATACTAC